TGTTACATTTCATTTTTTGGCTCCATACTTTCTAAATATTGAACTAAGCATTCTATTCCTTGAACATAGAATTATGAAATTTGGTCATGTTTCACATGATATAAAATATGTGATTTGACTCTCTTGACAATCAAATCAAATTGCTAGCAACAATAAGCGGGTTCCTCATACCCTTGGCCATATTAAGTGACGCTTTGTAAATAACGATAATAATGAGAAGTAAAATAACGGTTAACAGCGCAGCAAATGGAATTAGCGAACCGGGTTCATATTCCATTAGTGGCAGTTTGTATTCAATTAAGAAATCAGCTAAATCGGTTTAACTGTTCTCTCTCAATCGAACACCAGAATTTTATACAATGAAAACGAAAGACCATATAAAAAAATATATAACAATTAAAGCTAATTACGTTTAAGCCGAACAATCACTCTTTGTGCTTACAAAGCGATGGCTGATAGGACTTAATACAAATAAATTCCAACACCTATAAATTAAATTCAGAATTAACCTTCCTGAGTATCGAGAACATGTCTTAGTTACAAGCTTGGGCAGTTTGTTGCTTTTTTTAATAAATGTTCAGCTATTGCGGAACAAGTTGTATTCGCACTCCTATGTAAATTATCTACCTTGCTTTTACGAATATTGGCTGGCACGTGCTGCTTGATCCAACCTTTGACCCGTTCCCTCTACAGAGTCAGCGTTACACTGACATTTGAATTGTGTACCGAACTGATATGATGGGGAAGCAGGACATATTTTTCCCATGCACCTGATACATACATCACCAATCTACAATTTAATATTTATTTAATATTATAATATTTATCATTTATATAATATAATAATTGATTTATTTAATATTTATTTATTAGATCTTATAAAATACCAAAATCGAAATCCTAATCCAGAACCTTCTCACTCTTTGGTGAAGGAACCCCGACCCGATCGACTGTCTTCAGGTGTGTAGCCGTACACACCACGCTTGTCCAATTGCGGGTTGGTGAGGTTATTCAACCGGTAGTTGGGGTGGATTGCCGTTGACTCTGAATATCCGGTCTGTAACATTTCTTACTTTTGTACTACTGGCACTACACTTAGCCACCTCAAGAGACCATAGTCTGGTAGGGGAGCCGGCTTAGTCGCCGACCACTCAACCACTCAGGTTTTGAATTCACGGTTATCCTATTCCTAGACTGGTGTTTAATAATAGCTGGGAGACAGGATATGAATTCACACTTTTTCTGCAAGTAAATGTAAAGAACTCTACAGAAATTAGAATTCGACTCTCCGATTCCAGCATTTGATTGCTCCACCATTACTCCCTTGTAAAACTATAGGAACTAAATATTATTCTCCGTCCCAGAATAGCTGTTACATTTTGTGTATGAAATATTTTAAAAAATGTAGCAGCTTTTATGGGACAGACGTTGTGTTGATTTTTCAGCGAACTGTTCTTTGGACAGGTTTATTGAAAGAAAAAAAAATGATAATGATATCTTTGAGACAAAAGCATTTTATTATGCAGAGAATTTTCCTCTCATCCGCTTTCATCTTTGGATTAGAAAGGAGCATTTCTTTCTTTTCAGTGTCCTTTTCGGGGAAACAAGGCGGCTGCAAATACAGAACAACATTCATAAGACGACTGATGTTTGCAAGAGACTCTCGCTGATTCTGCGCACTACCAACCAGATTTATCTTCCAGTGTTTGTTACGTTGTCTTAATCCAAGAATCCTACGCCAATCTTCAAACATCGATTATTGCTTTCTTTGTAGAAAATAATCAAAGACTGTGGAGATCTATAGAAGTTTTAAGACTAAAGCTATCAGCGGAGGAAGGCAGGGCGTCTGAACGACGTCAATCGCATGTAACTGGATAAATTCAATCGTAGACGCCTACCATTGTGTCGCATCTAATATATCGGTCAGATAAAGACTGTATGAAATGTCGTTACCAATAAGGTTTAAATATTGACTTGCTATTTACAGTATCGCCTTATTAGCCCGGTGTCCATCAGCGCGTTGGCTGCTTTCCAATATCTTGCCTGTCAGGAGGCTTCACCTATTTTTATTTATTTATTTATTTTTTTTTTCACGACTGGCTGAGCGTATTTCTCTCTTCTTGGCAGGAGGAAAAGAGAACGTGATGGATAACAGTCTAGTTGCTGGCACACGCGCGCACACACACACACACACACACGCGCGCAGACATTAGCTGCCTCTGCTTCCTCCTTCTTCCTCGCCTGTCCGCATCAGTTGTTATCAGTACGCTCGTGTCGCCCTAATATTGATTTCTTGCTGTTTGCGTAGATCTGCCAGTCTCCAACGGACACTACTCCCTTTCTGCTTTTTATTCGTAGCGTTCCTCGCCAGAATCTTCATCTGATTTATGCTGTCTCCCTTTCCTGATTGTGATGCATTCGATTGGGAGGGCAGGGATCGCTTTAAACTCGTCATTGAGATTAAGGTGAGCCTATTCAGCCCCGACCTATGCATAATGTTCACCAGAATCAATAAAACAGAAAGCGGTCGTACAGGAGACATAAGCATGCGCACTCGCTATATAATTAGTTCGATTAATACATCTTCACTGCCGCCATGATTAAGAATCAGCTTTACGCTTTAAAATGTATAATATTTGTGGGAAGAGCTATTATAAGCTTTATTTAGTATAATTTCTAGACAGTAGATCATATGACTCATGGAGGTTTTATGTATATATAAAGAGAACGACAGAAGAAAAAAAGATTTAGAGAGAAAGGCTTAGCTATTACTTTAAAGAAAGCTACGTTTGGTTCTAATTTAATTCTAACCAATAATAATGTTTCCCACTCTTTCATTTTACACCGAAGAATAGTAATATAATTACACCAGTATGGGTGTCATATTTGAATGCTTTCAGTGAAACAAGATGGCGTCGAACACGTCAGTTACTGAGAGCATTTATTTGGAACTGATATTTACCTAAAGGTAGGCATTATGAATACCATAGGCTATACACATCACCCTTGCGGGAAAAGTAGAGTTCAGATAATCCAGCGAAGGAACGAAGATTGATTTTCTTGAAAATCAATCCGGTGAGAAAGAATAACGTAGCCTATGGACATATTTTTTTCTTTACCAATTCACCTGACAAATATCAACCATTCGTTCCGTTTCTTTCTTACTATCTTCTTCCTTCATTCAGTCTCTCCATCCATAGAAATACAGCGTCTCTGAATAGTTCAGAGACAGTAAATTGCGTCTTTTTCAATGATTCAAATAAAAACGATCTTTTATACTTCAGTCCGGAGGACACGGTCATTAGCGGTTACGCTTGGGTAATTATAATATTCGCCTGGACACCGAATATCCATGAATAGAACAACTTTTTCTATATTATATTAAAAGAAGTGATTCGGAGCTTACCGCAGTATTTGGAATCTGGCAATACTTCAGACATTGGTTATTTTATTCCCTGGAAATTCACACGAAAGAAGCAACATTGTGTCATTCTTAATCATGTAAGGTTAAGGATATGTACATATATTAAATAAGTATATGCCACATTTTAAATGTAGAAAAAGTCTCGTATATTTTTTATGTGAATATCAATGTGCTGTTATAATCTGGGCCAAATTGTATGCACTATATTCTAGTTAATTGGTCCGCGGAAATGCGTTTTATTCGTTTTTATTCCTCGAAATAAAAAACGTCGCTTTGTCCACGTAGTCCAATTATCTTGGAGATAATAAAATAAAATGAAAAGAGTAAGACATGGTGGTATAAAAGAATTCTTTCAATGCAATAAGCATTCATTCGCTATTTCTGTTTTATAATGGTAACAGTAAAATATACTCGCATTGGGGTTCAGCAAGTAACCTGAAGATATTCTTTTTTTCAGATATAACAGTTCTTTCATTTTCTATATGTGCATTTTCTTTGAGTGTGTTCGGCTGATTTTGGAAAGGAATAAAAAAAAAATGCTGTCGCAAAGCAGGAAAAAAAGTAATGTCGCTTTTGCAGAATAGAAAAGTGCATTGATACATTGATTTCTCATTCAAAACTGTAGTGGAACATATATAAAGTCGTTGGTAATGAGTTCGAAATTGTGTTCTACCTTTTCAAATTTATGTAGTTAAAATAATAAAAATATGTCTTTCCAAGTGTTCAAGTTAGTTAATCCATTGAAAAAATAATCTGCAATATTATTGCTCCTGGCATGGTATCTCGGCTTCAGTCATTTTCCCACCGCCGTCACGTAGCTTCCCTCTGCTTTTTCTATAAATAATGTCATGGTAATTGTTCTGATTAATTTTTCTGGTATTTTATTCCCCACCACCACAGACAAATTGTACATATGGGAATTAGTTAGGACTACAAAGAGATTTTAAGGTATTACGGTGTCTGTAGTAAAAATGATAAGTAAGAATATGTTGTTTTGGTGTAAGGAATACTGTGGTATGTTTTGGACAGATTGAAGACTAGCCTTCCTCTATCCCCCCCCCCCACTTTTGGCCTTGTGCGACATTTTTGTATTATCACAATAAATGTTACTTTCCTTTAGATTGGTGCCAAGGTCTCATCATTTTACAGTTTGAAATTGTTATATGTAACCGTAAGTTCTATGCTAATAGTTTCTTCTCATACACTTCTTGCTTGTGGAACTCTCTTCTGGTTTCTTGCTTCCCAGTCAACTTTGACCTTAAAAACTTGAAATGCAATATCAGTCGTTATCTACTCTCGTCTTAATTCCTGTTCCTTTATTGTTCGCGTTCCTTAATTATGCTTTTTCCTTTCATATTCTCTCACACTCAGTAACATTTTGCATCTTAGAGGCTTTACTGTCTTGATTGAAGTGAAACCATTTTAAAAATATAATGACGTAATGAAATTGTCCCAAATGCCTTTTAAAGAAAGCAATTAGACGATCTACTGAAGAATCTCACTTTAACAGTAAAACATTATTTCGCATCGAATTTTTTTACTCGAGTAGAATTTTCTTTCTTCCTTTAAGGAGGCTTACGGCAACATCACGTTGAAGCACTAATTCCCGTACGATCATCAAAGTTAAGCAAAGTCGAGCCTCTTCAGTACGTAGATGGGTGACCGCTTAGCAATATCAGGTGCTGTAAGCTTGGAAGTGCGGGTGGTGTAATGGATAATGATTCGAAATTGTTAATCGGAGGGTGGAGTTTCAATTCCCGTTGGGTTCGTTATATTCACTTAAGGGCAAATATCATTGGGAAATGTATGAAGACAAATCTCCCCCTCCCACACACACACCAGCTGTGGATTAATTAGTAAGACTTGCATCACAAAACCATTGTTATTTAAAAAAAACCCAAAAAACTTACAATCTAAAAATAATGTTTTCTGTCTTTAAATAACCTGCAAAGTGCTGCTAAGCCGTAAAAACGAGTCAATCAATTTTTCTTTAAATCTTTTTTTGGGTGACTATTACAGCTTTTGTTGTGGTTTTTACTGTTTGTTTATCTAATGTAATAAAGAATATCCTCATCAGAAAAGAAGAATATCATTTTTGAAATGTTTTTTAAAAGATTTATTAAAAAGAATGAAATCGAATCTATGAACTTTACATTCGACAACTTTCGTGGTTTATTTTAGTATAAAATTACACATATATTTACTAATTATTTTTTTCTGGTTCTTATAAATTATTTTTAACACATCCAACTAAAAAGCATAAGGTTAATTTTCACTCGCTATACTGTTATGCTCATGATAAACTCCGCATTATTACGGTGGAGTAATGGCTAGCAGCTCAGACTGAGGAATCGGAGAGCCGAGTTCGAATTCCAGTCAAATCCATTATATTCACTTACGTGTTAATACCCTTGGGAAATCCTCTTCTTCTCCCACCAGCTATGGTTAAATATCAGGACAGATCGAGTTATGTTACCTTTGATGGCAACTTGTCTACCGCAGAAAGAAATGGCAACCTACTGCGGGAAAAATCGAAAGATACATGATCGCCTAAAGCGTTTATCACGCATGGCACATAAATGACTGAATGTAATCTGGATTATAGGTACTTTTATTTTTGGCTTAAGACCTGATGTTACATGAAAGAATTTGTAAATTCCGAACAGTGTAATCAGATCTCTCTTTTTTCCTTACCCACTCTCCAGATACGTTTGGTAGCAAAGAAACTAATCGGTTATTAAACCTGAATAATGAAAGTTCGAAAATGCCAGACAAACGACTTATAATGGCAAAAGATTAAATGCCAACACTGACAAGGAGCGTGTCTAATTTTAGCAAGCTAGTTTTACAAAGTATTACTGCGGTAGAAAATTCGGTTCTCAATTGGTTCCCCACGCCGGCCAATCCTAGCTACACTTGGTAATTATCAAGAACATTAAGAAGGTTAAATTCACAATGATATTTTAATCGCCATATAATCGGTACTTATAAAGCATGGACAAATAAGGAAGAACACGAATAGGTAGAGAACTGAATAACTAGAAAATTAACATTCGAAATCACATATTTTTAAACATGAACTCGAACACCTACCACTGGTATCATAAATAAATAACATTAATAAATACGTAATTATCTCAATAATGAATCTTGCTCCATTTTTAATGTCATGTCTCTTCAGGACATAGGCGATTATGGCTCTCTACAGACTCCTTTTTATTAGTTGTGACTTTGAGAAATATAGTAGAGTGATTTCTCGTTGTCTTCTTGTTGTTTTTAAATTCAGGGTAGTGCTTCTTCTAGACTGGCTTCCACTCATGGCTAGAGAGCCGGGTCTGCTCATTGCTGGGGTAAGGAGCCATGAATTTCCCACGGGCTTTAGTGTAAAATGAACGCAGTTGACTCAACCGGAATTTGAACTCAGCGCACATACACATCCAGTTACACCTTTAAGAATTATATATGTCACTGCATTCGCTGAATGACTTCCATGCTTCTGAGTAGACAAAATGTTGTTGCACTGGAAGCATACTGATTAAATCAAGGCACACATATAAATTGACATCTCTTTCTCTCTCTCACACACACGCATACACACACAAACACACAAACGCACACACAAACACACACACACAAACGCACACAGACACATATATATAATTGGACATCTCTCTCTCCACACACACACACACACATACATACAAACACACACACACATATATATATATATATATTAGTTCGTTCACATCTATTTCAGTCTGTTCATATCTATGTGTGTGAGATCTGCTAACTGATATGAGTTTGTCATACATATATCATCTTCTATGTACCGTATACCTGTAGGGCGTGGTCGTTCATGGCTCACCGCAACTTCCTATTCTTTGTAATTCTTAATAACGTTTATTTTTTTCTTTCTTCTCAACTCCTATTTTACCATCCATTCACACGAGTTTGTCACATAGGTGGTTCCTTTTGCCTTCAATGTGTCCTGTGAGCGTCACATTCTCCAAGCTGTCTTTCCTCATTATGTGTCCAAGAAATTTCAACTGTTTCTTTCTGATCTTAAGCATTATTGCCTTTTTTGTTTTCATCTTCCTGAAGATTTCTTCAGTGCTTACGCGCTTCGTCCATAGTATTCTCAGCATCCTTCTGTAGAACCACATTGTCATTGCCTCAAATCTTCTCTTCATTTGTAAGGAAATCGTTCGACATTCATCGCTATATAGGAGTCTTGATATGACACAAGAGTCCAGCACTCTTTTCTTTGCTCATAATGAAATTTTCCTATTTCTTAATACTTTGCTTAGTTTCTGGAAGGCACCTTTTGCTATCCCAATGCGCCTTCGGATTTCGGCGTCACCTTTTCCAGTCTTCTGTTAAAACACGTCACAGAAATTTAAACTTCTGTACTTGTTTGATTTTGACATTATCTAATTCGTAGTTCGCAACTGGGGCTTTTTTCTCTTGCTGGCAACCATATATTTCTTTCTTCTTACCATAGATAGTTAATCCTTTCTTTCTGCTTTCTTTTACTATCAAAGGAAATTGTTTGAAGTACATTCATTTTACCCTTTTATAGATTATTTGCTCTCAGCCTATCTTTCGCAATTGTATCATCAGTTACGAAGCTTGCCTTAGTCCTGGTTCAAGGAAACAATTATGGAGCACTCAGTGAGAATCAAATTCAACACTCAGACCAGCTGACTAACGATTACTCCACGCTGAGGTGCTCTCTAATAGAAAACTTAACTTAGTTTCAGAACAAGGCCATAAGTATAGGGCACCCAGTCAGAATCTAAGTCGCTACACAGTGATAATAGTTGACACAACTGAACTCGACACCCATTACTCTACGGCAAAGCGTCCAATGAAACTGAATTACAGTTTGTGTAAAACATGTGTTCTTTCAACAAACATGTGAGACTCTTTTATCAAATAAGTAAAAAAAAAAAAAATCGGAAGCATTAGAATATCTAACCTTCACCAGCATTGAGGAAATTAAATGCACCATCAATGGTTTGATGCAAAACCAGTGAAACGACAGGGTTATTATAAATGAAGATCACCAACGGCTCATAGCAGCTTGATAAGCAAAATAATATAGCGAAGACGTTAAACAAAAGAGACCACTTGAAATTTGAATTTTAGACAGAAATGAAATTGTTAATTTTCGTTTTTAAGTTCTCCTCAATCAGCTCAAAGTTACAGACGTAATTTTTGCATACGTTATCAAAATAATTGACCATTGCTAATTAACTATTTCCAATGTGTAAAAATTGCCGACCATTACCGTGTTGGGGAAAACAAATAATATTTTTTAAGATCGTAGTGTTAACGATCTTCAGAAGCTTGGTAATATACACATGTCCCTAGCTGTTTAACTGTGACTGTTATCCTTGTGTCATACTTGCAAAAGCGCAACCTCTTCTGTGTGCTTAGAATCAGCCACAAATTAGTACCAACAAAAGGATTGTTCGGGAAAATACTTTTCAGAAGATGAAATAAAATCATGAAAGTGTTAACGAAAATTTTCCTAATATTTTATTTTAGGTCAAAACTATATTCGTTGCAATCAGTCAGTTTTTCCTTTGACGTCATTTCAATCCTTTTTTTTAAGTATAAAGAAAAATTGAGCCCTACGATAGTAGATTTGGCACAGGTTTGCAATTAACATGTAGCACTGCAAGAGTACATGTGGGCGTTGTCAAAAATGGTCCCGTTCCTGCAGCACATCTCTTTTTGGAACGCCACCAGCATCTGGGACTGAACTTGATTCGAGCCTTTTAATTGCAATGAGGTGGTGTAGTCTGTGGAGACGTCTCCGTGGAATTTCAAAGAGATGCAACGAGGAATCTGAGATGAACAACTACTAAGAAAGAAGTTTCAGTTATTGCTCAGGAACAAAAAAAAAATAATTGATCAGAGGAAGAATTTGATCTAATTTGGATAAAGCTATGTTCACTTCACAAACGAGAAATGATCTGATGAACATGAATTAGCAAGGAACAGAAACCTACTGCGGTCTTAGTTATTAACTGCTGCTGAACAAATCATGATGGATAACATAGTTGAACAGAGCTGGCGTGAACTATCTCATTTACAAAAGTGCAGCGCGTTTATGTTGAAACCGGTATTTGAGACGAGGCAGCCTGGCGCCGTTATAAGACTACAGCTTAAATCAAGCAGGCAGACATATTTTTTTCCTTAACGCTCCTCCCCACTCTCTTTCCCGCTCGCTCTCTGTCTCACTCTCTTCTTTGCTAGCTACTATTCTTTTCTCCCATTACTGAAATGGCAATGTGACTTATAGCGCTGAAGCAGAAGAGAATTGAGGGAATGGCGTGTTGGGAGGCGGAGAGGGGAAAAAGTATAACGGGCGCCAGGAGTATTTATATAAATGTCTCTCAGTTCGCGTTCAACATTATTCTCCCTTTCCCAACAACCACCAAGAACGGCATAAATAGCAGCAGCAGCAGCAGCAGCTGCTGCTGAGGCGGCGGCGGCGGCGGCGACCGAGTGAGTCATTTCCTATCGACATTCCAAACCTCGCTTTGTTCATCAACATCCCACTCCCTCAGCCTGTGTGAAACGTGACGTGACTCATAAATGAAGCCTTAAAGGAAACCTCACTACCACCGCCCTTGCATCTGTATAAATAGATTACGCTTTCTCCTCCCCTTCCTGCTACT